TTCGGAGAGGCCACTTAACAAATCTTGTCTGCTCACCTTTTATAACCAATTGAAATGTGTAGCAAAAAGCCCGAAAGTCACGCCTATTATAGAACTCAAGATTATTTCACTTACTGGTTCGTATCCCTCAAAAGGTGCTTACGAGATAATGAAGCAAGGCTGAAACTACATCCTTGTATTAATGAGGACGGCCTTTGCATAGTGTAATTAAGCTTTGTGCTCAGTCGAGATTTCTCAACAGATTCGCGTTCTCAGTCTAATAAAATAATTTAAAAAGTTATATCTTGGCTGCATTTTTCTCTTTCTGTATTTGCTGTCATTTACTTTTTTATGTGTAATCTTGCAATCAAATAATAGGTTAATTGTAGATAAGAAGAGAAATTGGGTTTCGATTTATCTCTTGATATAACATTGTTAGGAGCACTTTCATTTCGTATGAATGTGAATAAGGAAGAGATTCGTTGACTAAAGAGTTGCAACGGCTGACAAATATATTCCTGGAAAATAATTATCCTTTGGGCCTTATTGAAAATAATATCTCTCTATTGAGGAATACATTTTCAGACGGAGACCATTTAGTCAAAGATAGGCAGACTGAGACCTTTTCCCATGTCGTTATTTTACCGTCATGCCTTCTCTCAAAAAAGATAGGCGAATTACTAAAGAAACTTTTGAGATCCGGCTGATACAGGATTGTTTGTTCATTTGGTCTAGGTTATGTTGGTGAAACATGCCGACCTATTCGACAAAGATTGGGAGAACACAAAAATGCTGGCAAAGCAAGCTGGATCCAACTGTCAGAAGTGACCGAACACATGTTAGCAACTGGACATGAAATAGAATAGTCTCAAACTAGTCGATTTGCTGATTATGGTACGTCTGTGGTTAAAAGAAAGATAAGAGAGGCTATTGACATTCATAGCTTAGTAAATACGTTGAATGTGAGGAATGGAGGTAGAAAGTAGAGTAGGAATTGCTTATGCTTGCTTGATAGATTGAAAGAGAGAGTGTGTTGAGCCACCTTCAAAAACAATGCGACTCAATTTATCTGCTCAGTTATGGTTCTAATTTTACTCATATTAGCCCAAAATGTTAGATTGAGCTCATCAACCAAACCAGACATATCAGATTACGCGACCCCAGTCTTGCCTTTCCTTGGGGAGTTAAGCGTTGATGACCCTAGACTGAAAGGTTAGGAAAAGTAGTTTCGTAACTTGATTTTCATGCTTACAAACTCATATTTCATTATCTCAACCATACTTGCTTACGGATTTACGCAGTCTCGATCAAGGCTTTCTCTTAGGTCATTAGGCCTTGAGGATCGGAACCTAAGATTAAACCTTTGACGACTATGATTTAGGAACCGTATGCGTATAGACGCTAATACGTACACATACACATACGCATACACTAGAGCAAAAGTATCAGGACTAGTATAAAAGATAATTAACCAAACCACTCCATATCCATCTAGGTTTTTAAGTTTATTTTGCTTATTTGTATCAATTAAGAGGCAAGATAGAGCCGGATAGTGTTCTTGCTTTAGTGTTAACGTGAGACTTACAAGAATGACACCCAGCTTTGATGATGTCAATCATATGAAGGACGAAAGCTCAGCACGTTTTCACTCGAAACGAGGGAGGAGATATCGTGGACTGCGTCAACATGAATATCGTATTAAAGCCAAACGGCTGCAGTATAAGCAGATTTATCCGTCCTCATCTGGTGAGATCGACCAACGAATCTCTTCATTCACTTTCATACGAAATAACAGTCCCCCTAACAATAAGGTTAATTGTTTCATTTAATCATTTTTTTCCCACCATTTTACGTTCTTAGAACAAGGAGGAACTTCTGTGTGGCTCATTTTATCAATGCGAATTCCAGACTACTGGGATTGGTTACTATATCTCTCTTCTAATTTAGAAATGCTTGTGTATAATTCATTCAGATATACTCATACACTATTATACGAATTGAAAGTACGGTCGCATGCATCTTATTCGTTAAATTGTATCAGCTAACAAATGGATTTCTCGCATATAAAGCTCTCATTATACCTAACAAAAATATCATAATATGAGAGGTATTCACCCTATTTCGTTTAAGGTCATGAAGGACTGGTAGCAGAATTTTCCCACTGATATGAGTAGAGATGACGTTTCCATTGAATTTCACATTGCCTTGCTTTCCCAAAAGTTGTTCTCATCCCGGCTGGAGTGGATTGCAGTTTCGACCTCGCCTCGGTCTTATCAACACCCCCAGTGGGAGTCGAACCGTGACAGTGCAGAATGGGAGCTTTACACGTCAACCACTCTACCATATTGCCACGAGTGCCCTTGGGTCACAGGGCTGATGTGAATTTCAAGGAAGGTCAGGCCTTTCGCCGTGTCATATTCTTTGA